GTCACACCTTCCAAATGACAAAATTTATTCAATCTCCGCTGAGAGCAGTAGATGAGTTAGCAGGCACCTTTGATCCAGCCGGTATCCTGCTATTGGTTAGTAGATGCCCCAAATGGGGACATCGTCGAGGTTGCTGTGTCCTCAAACTTCTTCAGATCCCAGAGCTCCGAAACCTGTTGTCTCGGCCATCGAGACGTCCTTCGCCGCGGCGATGATCGCCTCTTCGCCCTTTTTTGCTGCAGCCCTGGCTCGTGCCACCTTCGCGAACTCCCCTTGTTCGATGTGGCGAATCCACGCGAGCTGCTCTTTGGTCACCGGTCCGGATTTTTTTGGTCTGACTTGGCAGGCCCGAGAATCCGATCGATGAGGTCCCCCACAGTTGCGACACTTTGTGAGGGCCTTGCACTGTGTTTTGGAGTGCATATTTGATCCGCAGTTCCAGCAAGCTGGAGCGCGGGAGCAACCACGAGTGGCGTGGAAGCACAAACAGCGTTTGCACTGTTCAATTGATCGACGAGGCTTATGGATGGTAGCCATACCCGAATCGTCGAAAAGGCGGAAGCCCGCACGAGGGGCTTCGTCCCGGTGAAAAAGGGCATGCCAGTTTCGATAAGGCGATCCAGGCCGACATGTCCCATGAGGTCGGACCTGGATTAGATACGCGCTGGTCGTAAGGAAGATCTCAGCGGTGACACTTGCAGCATTGGTCGCTACGGGGCCGTACTGTGAAACGATACTTACAGGTACGTTCGGTATCTGTAAGGCGACAAGATCCGAAGATGCTTCGAGTTTGGCGTTTTCACTTGCCAGCTTTGGAGAGACATCTAGGATCTCTTGTCGTATTTTTTCGTTCTTTGCTATAATAGCAAAGCCGGGCTTTACTCGATGAATCGAGGTTATATCATTGTAAGAGAGATTAAGCGTGTCCGCTACCTTACTTTTCAGAATGTTGTTTGAAAGATTCCGCCATGAGTGCTCCTTTTCCAGGCGGAGGAACAGTCGTTTATCGACTTTCGTCTTGGGAGCTTCTTTCTTTTGGGCTCTCGCCGCAGGTCGCGGTATAGCCTTTGCTATAGGAGCTGCATTTTGTCGCAGTCCATTTTTGGCCACCGTGGCCCAGGTGCTTTTTACAGGCAGCACTGGGACGGCGGGAGTTGTATTGCTCCTGGCTTCTGGAGCCCTTGGGGTGGGGTTCGCAGGGCGAGGATGGAGGACAGGTGGCGTGATGGCCGGGCCCGTGGCCATGTATTGCGCAATAGCGGCGCGTAAGTAGACTCTCATCGAGTCTACGAATTGTCAATTTGACCCGTTGGTCAAAGGGAGGAGGGTGGCTTCGACGCCAGAGATGGCGGCGGAACAGAGGGCCAGATTTGCCGCTGTTTCGGCGGCGCGTCGTTGTCCAGCTTCGACAATTGGTCGAAGCTCTAGGGGACACTCTGCTTTTGTGGCAGCTTTTGGCTGCGACGTTGATTTTGGCGCTGCTTTGACTGCAGCGTTTTCCGACGGTTTTGGCGCGGTCGGAGGAGATTTTGACGATTCTCCAGTCCCGTGAGGGACGGAGGATGGTTGGGGAAATTCCTCAACAATTCCAACTGACCCGATCATGTCAGTATCGGGCTCAGTGACGGCGGGGAGGGCTTTTTCCTTCCCTTTAGTTGAGACCTTGCTCATCTCCGCGCATTTCGGAGACTGGGCAAGGTCAGGTAATTTTTCGAGAGCCCCCGGGCGGACTCTCGTGTTGTCCAACTTGGCGTTGGGACGCTTTTTACGAACAGGTGGCATGGTTAAGATGCCAGCGACTCGATGACAATTTACTGAAGGAATGCGACGAGCGCGAGAGGGATGGAGATGAGGAAAGGGTGAAGATTCGAAAATTCGAATTTCAAAAAATTGTTTGTTTGTTCATTAACGTGCTAGGTGAAGTAACTCCTGTCGCACTCCTACTGGAGCTTGAGCACGAGTGGGGTCGGGCCGGATCAGGTTAACTACCGTGAGGCACAAATGCCTCGTCCCACCTAAATGACCGGGACCATGCCAAAATGCATCATGTGTTGAACCATGACGAATTCGGCAGCCCAGAATTGAAAACAAAACAAAAACTTTCCCGCGAAATCCCGCATTATAAAAGAAAAACTTCAACAATCTCCCTTCCATCGTTCCGCCTCAGCCACCACGCGCCTGAGCCTTGATTCCAATCTCTCTGTCCATGCCAAACCACCTAGGCTTCCGTTCTATCACCTCCGAGTCACAGGTATCCCTGCCATCCCCCAACTAGCCTCCGCGTAAATCCCACTCTCCTGGACGTAGTCCCTGAACAGCTGCCATCCCCTTGATCCGAGCATTGTTTCCAGAGCCGGCGCCCTACGCTTTCCGCTTTTAAGCCGCCATGATGCCAGTGCTTTTCGACACTGGACAAGGTGACCAATTGATTTTTCCCTCCCGCACTCGCAGTAGAGTTTGGCGTCAGTGTGGTTGAAGCGGCGATGATATGCCGTAAAGTCCCCATGTCCAGTTCGAGCAGCAATTTGGCGGGCGTAGACAGCTCTAGGTAGCGCTAGTTCTGGCGGTTTCTTGCGCTGCATCTCGAGTTCAAGGTCGGCGTAGTGTTTGGGGCGATTCCAGTGCCACCAGTCTGTCAACACTTGCCTTGCCAGTTCGCGGGCTTTTCGTCCAGATGAGGCGAGGGTCATCATACCATGTGTCGTCCTAGAGTTGTCCGGCGAGTTAAGCTCTCTTCGAGCGAGTTCATCGGCGATTTCATTTCCTGCCAGCCCTTCGTGGCCCGGAATCCATCCTATTTTGACAGGCGCGGCTGATCCCGCGGCCAGTTTCACGATCTTTTGGATACGCCAGGATGATGAGCCCGTTGTTCCCGTCAGTAAAGCCTGAACAGCCGCGGAATTGTCGAGAAGGATGTAGATAGCGCTGCGTCCTCGATCTCGATTGCTGGCAGTAATTGCTTCTATAGCAGCCAAAGCTCCATGAACCTCCGCGTCGTAGACCTCCGCATTGGTAATTTTGCCTGAGCCGCTTTGCTCAATTGTCGTACCTGTGCCACTGATAAAGGTCACAAAGGCCCATGACACTTTGTCGGTGGACGCCCCAGAACCATCACTGTACACGCAGAGACAGTCGGGTGGGAGTGTAGGCAGCCACTCTCTTATGAACTTGGCAGCCTCTTTCTTGCTTGTCCAGCAGGGAATTGGCTGAGGGGGGACCGGAGATCGGAGCGGTGGAGGTAGTTTAGCCTCTGGCAGAAGTCGATACATTCTCTGGACCCTCGAATCATGAACTCTGTCCAGACCAAGTCTGGATTTGTTGCATGTCTTTAGTCCGAGTCGGTGGCGAGCGCTGTCTGTGCTTTCCGTGGCCCGAAGTCGAAGCGGACGGTACTCATCTAGTCTTCGGATTCGTGCGGGAGTCTTGAGCCTGCGTGAGTCTTGAGCCTGCGTTCCTCGAGCAGAATGTGTGCTGGCGGAATACCAGTCTCTCTTCTCAGGGCTGCAATAGGCATCGTGCGCCAGGTTGGTAGAGCCATGCGGATTCCGAAGGCAGAAGTTTGGTCAATAACTTTGCACTGTCTCTTACATGAATTTCGCGCGACACCCCGATAGGTTTCCCTGGTTGGCCCCGGGTACCAGGATTCCGCTGCGTGCATCGCGATTGGCAGGACTACCGTGCGGATCACTGTGGTTAGTAGGTCGGGCCTTGTTCCCTGGGTGCACTGAGGGAGCCGTCGGAAGTGTTGCACTAGCCGCATTGCTTTACTGGTCCACTTTGCGACGCGGCTTTCGAAGGTCAGACCGCGATCAAGGTGTACTCCGAGCCATCGGATATCGTCGGATGCTTGTCGCCCCCTATGTAAAACTTATCACGTTAATTTGCACAGAAATGCTTAGTCGACTATGAATAATCCTAATTCTTGAATTTACTGGCAGTCACCACGTCAGAGTATTAAGTTTTGCAACGTACCACCAAATTTACTCAGGATAGGCTACGGATGCATTGGATATGAGGGTTCTAATTCTTCTTCAATCACGTAGTTTTTAGATTCATATGTACTCAGTGAGACGGGATCCCGTTATGATGTGTCATAAATTTTCTTGTTTTAAAAAGTCCCGCTGAAAAGGTGGCTGAGTTCTACGCGTAAGTACTGACTAAATTCCTATTCATCACGGGCAATGTACCAATGATAGAATAGAATAGAATTAAATTTAAGTCCCTACTGAGTCTAAGACTATGAAGGACTGCTAAAAGTAGACATGAAACTACCAAAATTCACTTGTTTTGATAAATACTGTTTTTTCAATCTTTTCCAATAGACAATGAGGGTTTAACCCTGAGTTAATGTACCAATGATCTTTGAAGTAAAAAAAGAGGATAGGAGCTCAGTGTGGAAGATATTCTTCAACTTAAGTTGTACAATAAACACAAACATCTCTCTGACTCTCTTGTTCTAAACAATAAAACTTGATCCAGAGTCATTGCAATCGTAGAACAGTTACAAGGACCTGTTCAATTGCATTAAATGAAATATAGTTATTGCCTTGATATGTTGCAATTTCATATCTTAATAAGAGCTCATTTCTCTCACTTTTATTATGGAAATTATGTCGACTTGGCATACCAGACTGACTTATGTCGCATGATGTTTCCTATATAGCGACACGATAAAATTAACTGCAACCACTCACAGCTCTAGAAGATGCTGGGAACTTACAATATTTCGTATCTACTAACAAAGGAAAGTCTCTTCAATCATTGTAGTTTATCAGACTCAGTAACGACAATCCTACGATACCTAAGAGCGATAGAACTAGCCCTGTGTTTTGGAACTTGGCAAAATTGATATATTTAACGTCATTTATGCCAACAGATATATGGATCACTAAGATTGGCTTGGCATGTCGAGGAACACCCACGCAGAGGAAAACTGTTTATCTCAATATGATATTTGAAGCTCTTGATCCTAAGTAGCTCCGGTACTCATACTCTCGAAGATGAGAAAACAACATTTTTACCACGTGGCAGTGCTACTTAACGCCTATTCACGTCTTGGTTGCAGCTCACCAACTTTCATGCCCATGCAAGCCGAAGATCTCGACATAATAACAAACGATTTTGTTTGTGACAATAATTACTATTCCAGCCTAAATGTTCATAGCTATTATATGACTGGCTGTAATGAGCTGTGGAATAGTGATTCTAGTAAGCAGTTTCCGGCAACGTTGGAAGATAGTCATCTTTATGGCGGAATACACGGAACTCTATTCTTATGGCCATTGAAGGATACTCGAGATACTTCTGACATAAGTAAGTTATGTCTACCAAATTTGGACTTTCTATAGAGAAATACACTCGACATCCAAAAATAATCAGTCGTATTCATGCAATTAAAATAATTGATACTAAGTTTTATCGGAATAGGGATTGCTGGGAATATCCGTGTTGTCTTCGATTTTAGGTGTAGGTTCTATGGCGTGGTAATGCGTCGGGAATCCAACTACGAACACTGCATTGAGTTGTCAGGAAAAAGAAAAGCTAACAATATAAGCTCTGACAGTTAATGAGCCAGACCTAAGGGGTTGGTCTGGTGGTTGCCGGGTGGACCGTGGATCGCCATACTGTACTTAGATTCTCTGTCTCCATAGAATGAAACGAATGCCCCCTTCCCACTTTTATTCAAGACAATTTACTGGTGACCTGCACAGGGGATTTTCCTCGGGTCGTTGTCATTGTCTACTTTGATCTTAACTATCTACCTACTTTATATCATCGGTATCGAGACGTCAGGTGGTGACTATTAGTAATCGTGTCGTGTGGATACGGTCTATTTATCGAAGCAGATCATCTCACGCGTTGAATGGGAGTCAACTGTTATTGGGAGCTATCTCGAGTCCACAGGCTGAAAATTCATCCTGAAATTTAGTTGGCAGCTCGGTGGTCTATATACATATTACGACCTAGTTTTGTGCTGCTGGGTCGAAACGCGTCATCACAGTGCCTGTTAAAGAAACCCGTTTCGTTCAAGTGTTGACCCTCAAGTGTGAATCAATTACGAAGGCCCCATTATTAAGTTAACTTATCGGCCTAACATCTGTGATCTGGAATTGGTGTAGAAGAAGGTGGAAATATATCAACAGAAGAATAAGGAAGATTACAAAGAAAAAAAAAAAAAAAAAAAAAAAAAAACGGCTTTTGATTTTAGTGAATTGCGTGCTGAGTTGGAAAGAATCTGGATTGGTGAAGAGGAACTCGGAATGGCAAATCGAACACTCCCAAAGTTTGAACAGGCGGGAAGGTTTGTTGGAGAAGGAAACTCCGGAGCAAGGTGGCTGTCACGACTCGAATATGATTTCAGGACGGCGGGGCATACGACGGTCTCACCAGGAAATTTTTTCTTCGCGATTGATATCCTTTTTGAAGACGAAGCGGCAGGATGGCTTGATTCAACTCCGGAATTAAGGGCCTTCATTGACGACCGGCAGAATTCGACAGATGAGCAGGTGGCTGAGTTTAAACAACAGCTAATTGAAATGTTCCCCGCCAAGTTGGTAAATCACGTCGAAGGGAACCTGCAAAATGATATCCAGGATTTTATGCAGAAGGAAGCTGAACCACTGACAGCATACTATCAGCGTGCGCTACACATTCTTCGTCGGTCACACGGAAGGGATGCCCCAAGGACAGCAGCTCTGGGCAGACCAATGATTCCTATTGAGCAAACAGTGCTCAACTCCTTTATCCTTGCGTTCCTCAATGGGCTTCGTGAAGAAGATGTCAGGTGTGAAGCGCTTTCCAGGTCCGCGCTATCATGCGGTTCAATGTGGAGATGTCAAGAAATAATCCTTGGGGTTAAGCAAAGTCTAGATGCGGCTAAGGAAGCTAGAGAAAGAGCCGCTGAGAGGAACGAAATGGCGCAAATTCGAGATCTATGCTCATCTCATTACGGGAAATCCGTCTCATCTGTGCTTGCAGACTTAAGTTCTGGGAGGATAATGGTACCTAAGCCAAGGCAGGGCTTCAGCAATGAAGCCTCATATTATCAACCTCGGCCTCCGCATCATCAACAACAACAGTTTGGGAACGGGTTCAATCATGCCAATAAGGACTCACCTCCTGCCCATCAGACTCTTGGAGGAAACACCACTAATCGTCAGAGCACATATAATCCTGGGAACGTGTCTAAGAATGCGTTTGTTAATGGAGCTGCTATCTACAAGGCGAGTGATGGACCGTTGTGTTTTGGATGTGGCCATGTAGGGCATATTAAACCGAAATGTCAGAATCTGCAACTTCAGAACTGGGAGCAAATTCACCTCAAGAATTTAATATATGATCGCCCTCAACCTCCGAGAGAATCAAACTCGGTACACTACGGTCATAGATACGGTAGGTGGAAAGAGAGTCAAGATTTTCACCGTCCACTAAATCCTCACTCTGATTTGCACAATCTAAGTGAAAATTATTCCTCTAGATCTCGAGGAATGAATGGTAACTATATGGATGTCCCAGACCAACCTCAATTGAACTCCGCTTTTGGATATAGGCCAGAAAACTACGGTTCAAGTCAACACAGCCGGAATCACCCACCAGCAAGGACTGAGAGTCAGGAGACGCATAGAGATGAACCTGAGGGATCTTGGAGAGCGCCGCCCAAAGTTCATTTCGCGGATCAAAGAGATGCGGACTGTTCACTCAGTCAGTTTGCCGACATCGATATACCAGATGATCATTGGCAACACACTGAATCAAAGGCCTGCGAAATAGGCACACAGGTTCAATCATTCAGCTCTGGACCAGGTAGGAAGAGGCAACGAATCGATATAGAAGATATCCTTAGCAATAATTCGCCCAACGAGCCTGTCAATGAGGATGAAAATCCTGGAATATGTCGGCCTATAAAACCGGCAAGAAAAGGAAAGCGGATTCTAAAGCATTTGAGGGAGATAGTGGGCAGAGAGGGATGCGGCCCTATGGATTATGTGGAACTGGCGAGAAGAATATGTATACCTCTAAATCTTCTTGAGCTCTGGCAAGTGAGTCCAGATACGGCAAAGGAATTCCGAAGACTCTCAACGAGGATGAACAAGAAGAAAGGGAAGCAAGTGCCAGCACAATTTTTCTCAAGTGCGGCCGATAACGGTCTGGCTCGGTCGGTCCAGAAGAGCCAGGAAACAAAAGCTTTTCGAATTCCTGTTGTAGCGCGCGCAGAAGCAAACGGGAAAATAATAAAAGTTGCATTGCCAAAGCATATCTCGCAGGCAGACCAAGGATCAGAGATGAACATCATCTCGCAGGGCCTCGTTAAAGCTCTGAGGCTTGAAAAGATCAGCTTGGGCACCAAGGGGTTCAGTGGTCTTACGATGAACACAGCCGATGGCAGTGCAACGGAATTATCTCATTTTGTTAGTTTCGACATCGGCGTTTGCAGAATTTGGAGACGAATAGATGCGTTCGTGCGCCCAGTCGTGAAGAAGAATGGTGAACTTGATCTTCACTTACTTCTAGGAATACCTTGGTTACACGACGTTAATGCAGGGATTTTTATTCGCGACTCCAAAATAATTCTTGGAGATCCGAAATTGAATGAGGCGAAGGCCGCTATTGTAGGCCCAACGTTTATGTCTTCGAGTGGGCACAAACTTGTATTGTATCCCAGACAAGCCCTGGATGACGAGGGACATAGGGAAGAACCGAGCGAACCACGCGCGAAAGATATTGTAGAATCAGATACTGATACGACAGATGAATCTGACGATACTGACTCTGATTTTGATGATGAGCTCCCAAAAGTTGTTACGTCTTCGTCGTCGGAAAACTAGAGAGACCTAAACATGTCAGTAAACTGTACAAAAATGTCATACACAGTGAGGAAATTACGAAAGAGGATAGTGAAAACCCTTTTTGTCAACAACCTCAGGACTCTGATCTTCAATCTTGTGTCCAATTTTCTAATTTTCATTTTAATAAGGACGGTCATCCTAATGATCCGAATTCGTCACCTATATTGTCTTCCAACCGTGTCTTACTAGAGTCGATGTCATGTACGTTTGACGAGACCGCCTTTGAACCAAGTGACCAGAAAGCACCGCGGATATTAAAGAAGAACAGAGATCTACTAACTAAGCAGCTGATGAGCGTTATGGGAGTTTCTGATAGAAAACACTGCTTAACTGATGGTACAGTTAATGGCTTCAATTCCCAGAACGACTCCAATTCAAATGAACCGTCGACTAGACTAATTAGAGAAAGTTTTGACCTGGCCGGAACATTTCCGACATCCAGAAGACCCAGAAGCAGACCTTTAAGTAAGGCTCCGAAAGAAGAGATCGATGAATGGTTTGGGAAAGTAGGAGTAAAGATAGGTACAGCTGTAGGCGATGACTTTCAACGAGACATGGTGAAACGACTTCTATTCACTTACCGCGATATCAATGGAGTTGAGCTAGAGCAACTAGTCCCAACAGACCTCTATGTTCATAGAGTTAGGATCAGAGAGGGGACTAAACCATTTTCAAAAGTCAAGCAGAAAAGGTGGCCTCCAGGGAAGGAGTTTTGGCTTCAAAAAATTGTTAATGAGGGGCTATCGTGTGGAATGTTCGAAAAGACCATGGCAGCAAATGGAAAGTTGTCAGATTGGAACGCGCAGGCCGTCATAGTGGACAAGAGCGACAATCCCGGACCTTGGGATGAGCCGAGAATTACGTTTAACTACCAGAATGTGAAGGAAGACATGCCAGGATGCTACCTGGAATTGATGGCCAAAGTACACGACCATTTGTCTCACCCCTCACACAAATTTTTTCTGAAGTTTGATGTGAAACACGGCTATTGGAATATCCTCGTTCATCCCGAAGATCGACATTTTTTTGCATTCACCATAGCCGGCATTGGCCAAGTTCAGCCGACTCGGATGCCTCAAGGATCCATGAGCGCAGGATTCTCCTTCACGGAGCTAATGTACATTGTGCTTGGTGACATTCCACCTGGTCAAAATCAATTTCCGGGCATGAAGTCTGTACTGGTGCCCGAAGATAATAGTAGTCCTCCAAAAGCCTCATTCTACATTGATGACATGTTTTCCGGTTTTCAAAACTTCAAGGATGCCTATGATTTTATGGCGGATGAATTGTTTCCTCGACTAGAGTGGTCACGTCTCAAACTATCATTTAAAAAGATGGAGCTATTCAAGGAAGAAGTTGTGGCTCTAGGAACGCTTCATAAGAAGGGCGGCATTGTGTGTGTAACTCCTGAGAGACGAGACAAGATTCGGATATGGCCTACCCCGACAAATGCATCAGAGGTTCGTGCTTTTCTTGGGGCGATTAATATGACTCGACGATGGGTTAAAAACTTCGCTGAGATAAAGGTTCCATTGTCAAGACTTACCGGTAACGGTGACTGGCGGTGGGGAGAGGCAGAGCAAGTTTCCTTCCAATTACTACAGGAGAAATGTTCCGGTGCAATTGAAATGCATGGTTGGAACTTCAAAGAGTCAACGGTCATGTACTCAGATGCGAGCAACTTTGGAGCTGGCTGTGCTGTAACCCAGTCAAGGATCATTGGGGGTAAACGAGCTGAAGTTCCGATCCTTTATGACGCTTTCACATTCACAAAATGTCAACGAAATTACGGGACGTATAAAAGAGAGCTGTGCGCTATCGTGGAATTCTGCAGGAAATATGATTAAATGTTCAGGTCGCCGATTCAGGGGACAATCTTTACCGATCATCACCCGCTTACCTACTTCTTGAAATCATCTTGTCTTGATGGTATATATGCAAGGTGGGCAAGCGAACTTAGATTTCTGAACATTGAAATTGCGTGGATACCTGGGTCACGGAACCCAATCGCGGATGCTCTTTCTCGGACTATCTTCCCGGGTGAAATAGGAAAAACGAAGGAATTAACGGAATTTGGTGATCTGGTCAACGAGAATGGAGACCCTAAATGGATTTGGAAGGATGGTACAAATGGATACGAAACATTGCTGAAATCCATCGGTGAACCATTAAAAGAGGAGGATCTTAGGGCGTTGTTCCTGGGTGATATGGCTAGGAAGGATCTTGATTCGAAGATGGCAAGTATAAGCTTGCTTATAAAGGAATTGGGAGAGACAGTGCCTACGCATGTAGCATTTGAACTCCTGAATTCGCTGTCCGAAATATCCACAGGAGTCTACAAATCTTCCTGGGTTTCCGCAGGGGCGGAAGCTATGGGGGGGAGTAACTGTCTCATTTCTAACGTCTCAGACAGCCAAGTCCCATCCACAGTGCCTCAGTATAACAGTGCACCATGGGTCAAAAATGTGATAAGGACAAAAACCATTGCGCCTCACACGAGGTTCTCTGACTCAATATGGTATAAAGAGATCTCAATATATCTGAAGACGGGAATAGCTCCCAAGAAGATCCAAACGAAAGTCCACCAAGCGGCGTTCCTCAAGAAGGCGAGTAAGTATCAAGTACAGGGACCCGAAAGAGTACTCTATCTTGATGTTCAGGGAGTTCTTAAACGCTGCATAACCGAAAAGGAAGTCTCATCACTGTTGTTGCAAGCTCATGACAATGGGGGACACTTCGCCTCATCCATCACAATGCGCAAACTATCGAAGTATTATTGGCCTGCTATGGTTAAAGATGTTCGTGACTACATTGCAGGATGTCTGGTGTGTGCCAAACATGGAACAGCAGTGAGATCACAGAAAATGGCGCGAGTGTCAATAAGTACCCCGATGGAACTACTTGGAATCGATTTCATAGGCCCTTTTCCGAAGTTCGAGGGAGTAGAAGTGTATTACATCCTTGTGGTAGTGGACTATTTCTCCCGGTTCGTGTGGTCGCAAGCAACAAAATCTGACAACTCAGAATCTGTTATTTCTACACTGGAGCGAATTTTCTTGGAGAATGGAGTTCCCACAGGTATCTACTCGGATCCTGGCGCTCATTTTGGGAAGGACACACAGCGGTTTGCGGAATCCCGTGGAGTTATGTGGTGCACGTCACCTGTTGCAGCAAAGAAAGCTACTGGTATGGTAGAGAAAGCCGTCGACATTCTACAACGAGCCTTGAAGAAGAACGCTCGTGATCCATCGAGATGGCCAACGATCCTATCAAAATCCACGTTTGATGTAAACAGGAGGGACATACTACACCTTGGGTTTTCTCCCCACGAAATTCTTAAGGGCTTCGCACCTGATGGGAATCTCGAAGCTGTGTTTCCCTCAAACCATCGAGAGAGTCTGAAGTCATTATTGAGTACAGGAACGCCAGATGTGTTTCCTGAAGATGACGATGTGCATGGAGACCTAGTTATAGACTTTATCCTTAACCGTGAAGAGACGAGGCGAACTGCGCTGATCAGGTCAGATTCGCAAAAAGATCGTGCAAAAGACCGACATAATCTGGGCGTACGAGCTGGGCATGTCTATGTACCAGGGAGTCTAGTGATGTTATGGGACGCCAAAGCCGCTGGGAAAAAGCTCAGACCGGCATGGAGAGGGCCGTTTGTCGTTGTGGGTTATGGAGGTGACATGGAGCGCTCATTCATACTAAGACAGGTCGATGGGTCACGAATCCCAAGGCATTACTACGGAGACCATCTCAAGCCTTTTCGACTTCGAGAGGGCTATCTCATAACTCAAGAGGAGGAGGAGATTCCGGTCTATCAGAACCTTCGGTTAGGGAATGCGGCTTTTAAATTGCCAAAGTATGTCGAAAAGGTCCGTGGTGTTCATGACGCATGAGAAAGCTATTTACTGTTGTGGAGTCACCTTCTGGGAGTGCATGTCAGCACGATTGAGCCGTGAGGAGCTATGGCATTTTAGCAGGGACAAACGATCAACACTAAACGGAGCTCGTCATCACGAGATGCAGATGGACAGAGATGATATGGCGTTTCAGTAGCTAAGGGCACGTAGTCTTCGCGGGTGCTTCGTCCTGTGGGGGGGAGTAGTTAATGAGCCAGACCTAAGGGGTTGGTCTGGTGGTTGCCGGGTGGACCGTGGATCGCCATACTGTACTTAGATTCTCTGTCTCCATAGAATGAAACGAATGCCCCCTTCCCACTTTTATTCAAGACAATTTACTCTGACCTAAAGGAATTTAGGGGCTACAGATGTATGGGAACAATTTTCACAGAAGCATATGTTCGAAGCTCTACCAAAGCATCTTGGCAAGTAATTCTAGAAAGTCCCAACGTACAAAGATATCCTTTCAGATTTTCATCGCCAAATGCGGGTCAAGACCTACACGAATGGCCCTTATTTAAAAATAATGAAATCTACGCAGCTAATAGTATTAGTCTTCCTAAGCTAAATTTAAATATTAATTCTAATTATTAGAAGTTAGACACAAACGCCGTCTCCTTTATTTTGTCTGGCACAAAAATAAGGGTGAACCTATACAGGTCATTTATAGATCAAAAAAGTTATCGTACACTTGCAAATTCATAACAATGAACATTGTGCCTCGTGCTCACATTTTTGATTCCATCGGCGCCCACAAACTTATTGTCAATGAGAACAAGAAAAGCTACGACTGCCATGGTCAAATATTCATGGATTACTACATTAAGGAAATTCAGTTCACAATTAGGAACATACAAGCTGATGGCGATTACAACAAATTCAAAAAGAATAAATATCCTAGACTCATGAAAATAAATCAAATACAAAGTGAAAAGATAGTCTGGACTTGGCATCTTCGTAGTTCAGAAGCAGGGTTCCAGAGTATGTCAGTCCTATCTTCATTCATGGGTTCTGCTAATGTTAAAGTGTCCAATATCCCAACCAGATACTTTCTGATAATGAGCCACGAATATGAAATTATTGGAGTATATTATATGAAGAATACCTCCTACACGAAATGTGACGAGAAGTCTGTTCAGACAATCTCTGAAGCAAATAATGTAGTTTCTAGTTTGGACTTAAATAATGATCACCCTTGTTGTGAGCTTTGTAAAGATCCTACAGGATGTAGCTGTGAAGATAACTGGCATAACCCAAAACGCCAGAAAATTTCCCATCAATTTGATTGCTATGGAGAGAGTAGCTTTCAAGAATCTCTTTCATATTAGGTCGTGCCATCAAATCTGGTAGGTGTGCAAGTTATAATTTTGAATAGTTACAAATACGAATAATCATTCACAACCATAATATAAATAACGCATACATTTGACAAGATCAAATGTTTGTTCAATTTTCTCACGGCATGTTCAAAGCCTTGAGCCATAATCTTGGAAGCTGCAAAGAAGATAAGGTGAATAGTAAATAATTCCAAGTCCATTGCCTTGAGTCTTAGTCTGAGTACCCTAACTTCCTTACCTTCTGGTAAAGTAATCATTAAGTGGCGAAGTCGTTTTTTTCATTTTATTGTCCTGTCTGAGTCTATGGCTATGTGGGACATGCAGGTCCCCTCTGCCTACAGGCCAAGGATACCTATACCAGTAGTATATCCCCTCCTATGCCTCCCACACAGCTCCCCTCAAACAGTACCGCCCCTCACAAGTCCTCATTCAATCATACACTTAGAGGAGCCCTTAGCCCTTCGTTTTCTCCCCTCTCCAGCCAACGAAACGATGGCCATTTGCGGGTGCACGGCAGCCGGGAAAAGTCGCAAAAACTACTGGGCGCGGAGCTCTCATAATACCGACATTGGGACTAAACCCAAAGACATAGTGCCCCTTCTGAAGCGTTCGAAGAGGCCGGCCAGCAGGGCGCTGTGGACTTGTGGGTACCTCGGGAAATTCTCACTACGCCTTCCCAGCCTCATTCCAACTCTTTCCCCAAGCTCGTGCTTAGATGTCAGTAAAGTCTTGACAGAGCATAATTGCTGTATGGTGGCTTAGCCCAACTTCTTTTGTGCCGTCCAGGGCGCTGGGGAGTGCCGTTGACTCATCGACAAAAGAAGCCCTCCTGGCTAATTAGCCGAAATCTTGGTCTTGGCGCTCACAAATATTCCAAAGTTGAAAACACCTCAAAATGCCAGTCCCAGCAAGGTCTTTAGAGACCTGTTCCGCCTCCCGCTCCACGCCTCAGCCGCCTGTTCTCCCTCAAGATTTTTGTCCCAATAGAGAAATAGTGCCTCCACTAGCCAGGACCCAGGATTTGTATTTTTCAATGTGATTTCCTCCTTGCGGGTATGCGTAGCGTCATAAATAAGTTGTGTGAGGTTTCTAGTAAATAATGGGGCCAGCTCCTATTTTCAATTGGAGCAACTTCTTTGTTGGTCGTTAAGGCGAAATGATGCATGGTTAGAAATGGTGAGGTTTCTGAGCGCACGTTGGTTTGGTTTGGACTATCAATTTTACGTCTATCTAATATAAATCCTTAGTAGGACATAAGACGCCAAAGCTTTCTGCCCTAGATGCCTGAGGCCTTTGACGGTCCAAACCTGAATAGCCAAAGCCTTTATGTGAGATCATAAGGCATTAGCAGTTTGTCTGAGCGCCGTACATTCAAAATCTGGGAGGGTAGGACTGAACACCTATACGCAATGTCCTCTACGAATCTGGGAGTAAAATATTCTCCCAGAGCCAAGCTCAGTCAAATTTCACAATATCGACCAAGTTGGCCCACGAGGCAATGATTCAAAATAATCCACCATTTCAATCTTTCACTCCCAATGAAATCAATTTGTACCTAAGCCTCATCAAGTCTACAAGTACGCCCTAGTATATCCTGATTCCAATGACCACACCTCTTGTCGACTCTATCTGGCCTCAGCTGGTCGCCAGATATACGCCCACGCAGATATTTACACCCGACGGAGGACACAAAGCGTGGCACACAAATCTGGGAGAGAATTCTTTGGGATGGACGTGAGAGGGATCAGGACAAATTCAGAAGATGATACAAGGGAATAGTTAAATCTAGACGGGCGTGAAATTTAGAATCTAGGCGAGGAGTTTTTACAATTTCAGCTTTGTGCGCGTCAAGACTTCGAATGCGAGAATGCAACTACACTGTACACACCGCCATGGTTGGTTGATGCAGTACTAAATCATCTTGGTCGATCTCCCAGATAAGTTCTGGATAGCTTGGACATATATCCCACTTGAGACAGTAGATCGCTGGTTCAAATCCAGCAAAACACAACCACATTTCTCGCGGCGCTGGTATGCATGGATGACGAAGGCATGCTTGGATAATCAAAGGTTTTGAAATTTCCTGTAGGAATACTCGGGTGGTATTTATATCACAAGCTTTCTGTAGCAGTAATAACAATTGGTGGTTAACATATATCTTCTAATCTTCTTTTTTAAATAAAGGAAACACGTATATACAGCAGTTGTCTCTCTCTCCTGACGCCATTCCTAAATAGGTAACTCATTACTCATCAACATAATTAGTCATCATTTCTAAGATTAGATTAGATTAGATTTTATTACAGTCCTATCTGAGTCTACGACTATAGAGGACTTCTAGCTTCTAAATGAAAGAGACTAACAAATTTCGATAAATTCAACCATTTTAATTCCCAACATTTTCTTATAGATAGTGAGGAACAAGTCCTGTATTCCATTTCTAAGACAATACATGAAAGGTCATTAAGTCATTCGACATTTCATTTGGTAAGTACTCAGGAAGGAGGGTTGACTGTTTTTGTAAGCAAGGATACCTCATAGTGGTATTTGCGAATGAAATCCAGAGTATGAGTGTCTCTAACGTCAAAAGAGTCATCCAATATGTATACATAGCAATGGCCATTTTTCAAAGCTAAATAGCTGAATACTCATTACAAGACTTAATAAAAAGAGAAAGCTCCTGGTCAGGGTGGTATCTCAAACTGGATGCTCAAGAGCTATAGAATGAACCTTAGCACAAAACTTAAACATCTTCTCAATGCTTGTATATGTAATGGATCCCATCCCAAGGGATTTAAGAAAATTGACGATAGTGCTAAGAAAGCCACAAAAGGAGTCCTAAGTTAACGCAAAATCACGTCGACCGATTTCGTTCTTCAATACCTTAGGGGAGCTTCTCGAGAAGCTGGTTATAAACTAGATACCTAAAGCAACCTAAAATGACAATTTACCCACTGAGGAACAAATGGGGGCTCGACAACATAGATTTGCAATCTCAGCAATGGAACTATTTACGGTGCAAGTACATGCAGTATGGAGTAAGAATAAGAAGAGATGTGAGTCTATAATTTGCCTGAATATAACAGGAGCCTTCGATAACGTATGTCGAGTAATGTCATGCTTATTTGAATCTCTCTTAGAGCTCATTGTATTTATTGCCCTCAATAAAGACTCTATCTAGGTACTGTATACGTCTTGAGAGTATTCTCATAATTACTACCAATTCCAAATATAGACTGACCTGTAAGATTATAAAACTAGAGGGTGCCAAAGGTAGCGTCGGGAGGGTTACTGAGTGACTTGGGTAATATCTTAGGAGGTTGGCAAGAGTCAAAGGTATAAATTCATAATTGTAACTAAAACTAAGGACGAGGGACGAGGGAATCTAGGATAGGAGACAAGGCCAGTGGAAGACGGAAGTCAGGAAGTGGCCCTCTACTGCGGCTCTATTCCATCCATATATACATCATAGTAACCAGAGCAACCTAGGTCTCTTTTTATTATTATTTTTTATTAAATTATTTAATTGTTGAGGGAGTACAGTTCGTAAGAAAGCCGCGATTAGATTCTTTGCCCCAACAAGTTGCCACATGATTTATCACTAGCGTTCTCTGTGACGTAGTATTAAAAGCCATGTAAATCCTGTAGTTAGAAAGAATAAGGAAATGAACATAGATACGATTTCATTATAGAAGTATCCAACTGACACCGTGCTCCCATCAATTGTGATCAATATTTAACAATATTTAACATTAATGTGTATGCAGCTATCTAGCTATGACACATGACCGGCGCTATGTATACATGATGGATGACTCTTTTACCGTTAGAGACACTCAGACTCTGGATTTCATTTGCAAATACTACTATGAGGTATGTTCGTGTTATGAATTTCTTAGATTTAATCTGGATGTGGTGGTGCAGGGGTTACTTTCTTCATTCGGTTAGGTCTGAGGCAACGGGATTTAGATTTGTTCAGGCTGGAAATTTGGATTAGCTCTTTAGTTCTAACAACTTTTTTGTTTATTGTATGATTTGCTTATTGGGTACTCGATATTTTAGTAACATGATAATCTGAACATATGAATTCGTAACCTTTGATAATTCGAGCCTCGATTACCTTCATTCGTACCTTCGCACCTTCGACCTTCGAATCTTCGATAATTTGCCTTCGTCGAAATTGACTCGACTTCTGCAGTTAACAGCTTCGAAAATCTACCAGTAAGTAGATTCATAACAGTTCGACTACACAAACAGTCGACCCTCCTCCGTAAGTACCCGCCAAAGGGAAATTCAAAACCTTTGTCACACATGCATACCAGCGCCGCGAGAAATGTGGTTGTGTTTTGCTGGATTTGAACCAGCGATCTACTGTCTCAAGTGGGATACGTGTCCAAACTATCCAGACGCACTTGGCAGACCGGCAAAGACGATGTACCACCGCACCATCCAACTATGGCGTTGTTTATAGTGTCGCCTGCACTCTCGCAACCGAAGCCTTGGCACGCACAAAGCTCAATTTATTAAAACTCCTTGCCAAATTTCAAAATTCCACGCCCATCGAGATTGTATCTGTTGGTACAACGGTGTTCACTTGTTTCAATGCCTCAAAAATGCTGTAAACAAGTGGTATCATTCTATCTTCTTTTTCCCTCTTCTCTTTCCTCAAGCAATAATATCTAAATTACAAATTGGAGCTTGGCGCCCGAGCCAAGTCACGTGATACATTGACTAATCCTTACAGAAGTACATATCCAAGTCAAGCCATTTATCCGAACGCCATTCACCTATGAACCGACAGTATCCATCCTCTGCATTATCTGCCCAACTTGTCCTGATTCCTGTCACATCCATCCCAAGGAACTGTCTCCCAGATTTGTGCACCACGCTTTGCTTCCCCCTGCGGTTATAAATATCGGCGTGGGCGTGTATCTGGTGACCAGCTGAGGCCAGATAGAGTCGACGAGAGGTGTGACTATCGGGATGAGGATGTACTTGGTCGCAGTTGTAGACTTGATGAGACTTAGGTAGAAGTACATCTCGATGGGAGCGAAAAAACGACGTGTTGGAGTATTTTGAATCATTGCCTCGTGGGCCAACTTGGTCGATATTGTGAAATTTGACTGAGCTTGGCTCTGGGAGAATATTTTACTCCCAGGTTCGTAAAGGACACCGCGTACAGGTGTTCAGTCTTGCCCTCCAACCTAGGTCTCATAGGGTACACCTTCTACTACTCAATTACTCAATTCGTAAACCATGGCAACTATTGTAACCCAGCAACCCAGTAACCTCCATCCTCAATTCCTGAGAAAGGTTGTATGTGCGAATTACTCAAATCACCGTTCTATGTATGGTTCTACAATTTGCTTTGTTCGTTCTATGAATGACAAATTTCAGGTGTAAAACATTATCGTGGATAATTATTATGGTTGGTATATGATTTTGGAATTTGCACTTGCGCCGGAACTGATAAGATAGTTTGTGGAGAGATATCTTCATTAATTTGCAGAAGTGAAGTTACTATGATCATTATTATGTTACAGATTGGGTGAAGCCCGTCCCTTATTCACTAACTTGTTCGCCTGTAGATCGATCACGTAGCCAGTATGCAGCGCACCAAATTATGCACCCAAATGAGCAACTATGACATTTATTCTGTGTTAACCCATCTCTCATAACGTTCATAGTACTACCTGTATCTCCTTCATGCACTATAATGCCATAATAACTACCTGTGCACTAGCAACTAAATCTACCATACTACATAGTTGGGCATAAAAGTACATCCTCATCCCAATAACCACTCCTCTCTTCGACCTTCTCTGGCCTCAGCTGGTCGCTAGATACACGCCCATGCCGATATTTACACCCGCAGGAGGAAGCAAAGCGTGGTGCACAAATCTGGGAGACAGTTCCTTGGGATGAATGTGAGAGGAATCAGGACAAGTTGGGCAGATAATGCAGAGGATGGATACAATCTCGATGGGCGTGGAATTTTGAAATTTGGCAAGGAGTTTTTACAAATTGAGCTCTGTGCGTGCCAAGCCTTCGATTGCAAGAGTGCAGGCGATACTACAAACACAAGCCAACGATGGAAGGTGTAGTGGTCCGCCTCCTGGTGGTGTTCTCTGGTATAGTTTGAGTAGCCTGGGCACCTACTCCACTTGGGAAGGAGACACCAAAGACCATATTTCGGGCGGAGAAAGTTGAAGGGATGATGGAGGCATGTCTGGATAACCTAGGGTTTTTGAGACGTTCCCCTGGGTGGGTATTCACGGATGAGGGTTGACTTGGGGTGAAGAAAAAGTCGGCATAACTTCGCAGTGGTACTTGCAAATGAAATCCGAGGCATGAGTGCTCTTCCTTTACGTTGAATCATCTATTCTGGACTTTTCTTTGATATTGTGTCATAGCTAGATAGCTGCATACGCAATTAAAATCTGATGCAAAAAAAAAAATAGTTGGGAATAACAATAATAAAAGGATTGTTGTATAACAAGTGATAGAGTAACTCGATTTCAACGAAACGAAATCTAATACAAACAATAAAGGATTTATGCACAGGAAACTAACCGTGTGTCTAGTTGCAAGTTGTCACATTTGCATGACTGGATTATGGCCCGTTGTTGGGTCATTAAGAAATTACAGTCACGAGAGTAAGATAATACGGATGGTAGTATATGGTATATGGGGAATGTATAATGTGGTAAAGTACAGAGTGATAAAGGTGTATTATGTGCTAAGAATGTGGACAGCTCTTTTTAAACCAACCAGCTGACTATGATATATTTCCCTACACCCGTGATGTATTAGCCTCGCATAGTAGGTTGTAAACTACACAAATCCAATTTTTACAACTACATTTCAAAAAACTTCTAACACCAACCCAAAAAATCAGTACTTCACAGTTATTCTTCGTTAATCTTACTTGAAAAATTTGTGCTTGTTCTCCTTCAAGACGAGACGACGCCTCCGGCCTACGAAAAAAACGCGGTGTGTCCGAGACCATGGATGCTACGAGCCGCATTTGCAAAAATTTCGGCAATTCTAGGCGCGGATAGCTACCAGCTGCTTTACTAGATCGCTCCTCTTCGAAAATCTCGGCAGCAATATCCAATACTGCTGCGTCATAGGATTCGTTGGCTTTGCAGCCCCATTTTAGTCTTCCTGACGCCGTCATGGATACTGATGTGGACTTCCCCTCAATCTAGAGCGAGCGTTCTGATATCATTGAACTACAGGATCAGAGTCCATCTGATGTGTATTCGCAACAAGGTTTCGCGGTATAGGAAGTACACCTGTCAAAAACATCACCTAGAAATAGCCAATGAGATTCTAGCGGAAAACTAACAGACGACCAATCTCATGCCAATGGCTAGAAGCCTCTTGAATATAGTTGTTCCTTGCCTCTAAGAGATGGAAGACATATGTCCTAGTGCCTGAGCTGATTTCCTTGCCCTCGTAATACACGGAGTGTCCCGAGCGATCCGAGGAGAAAAATATTATAAGAACAGCATGGCCAACTCAGCGAGCAGACTTGCTGATGACATTCAAAAAAGCAAAACCTGGGCCCTTAAGGCGGCAGGCGGGAATGTGGATCTGCGCCGGCCCCCGGGAAGGCCTGCACCCCCACAACACCAACTCAAGGAAGAGAAAAGGATTATTATCCGGCTAAATGGCAAATATGAGGCACGTAACACCGAACCGTTTCAACTCCGACAACAATTCCAACGTCTTGTGTGTCCAAATCATGGTACACTGCGTTGAGAAGATTATTGGGAATCATATTATATTCACACGTTAGCGTGCCTGTAAAATACGGATTTTCCTGTTAGAATTAAGGAGAAGAACGCACAACTTACAACAAACTACGCAAACTCTATAGGCACTCTGTGATACTAATTACAGGCATGCTTTGAGTCCCTAGTATATCGTTAGCCACTTCACAACCCTTACGCACGAACAAACAAATGGCCATGTGCGCAGATAAATTTTCTACCGCCAAATAAAGGAATTCTTCCCAGCAGCGGTCGAAATGGTCCCATTAACCAGTAGCGCATCTGACGAAAAGAAAGCCAATTAAGGCATATCTGAGTTGAAATTAGCTGATGTTATGCAGTATTTAAGCACAATTATAGCCAATCAAGCCGCCCATACCTATAGCATTGCTATCCTCAACAAGCGGGTGACTGAAATTAGGAAAGTCATCATCGTACACAAACAGCGAAAGTAATCTGAATCAATTATGTTCTCGAAAGGAACAATACAAGGCCTCATCTGCTAACCTGAGACACTCTCCAAGCGACCCCTTTACAATTCCTGGGAGACCGACATCTTTGAACCCGCAGTTTAGCGCTTTCATAGCTCCAAACGGCTCACCAGTTCCCAGAGGACTTAACAACTTTTTAATTCTATCAGAACCACATATTGATATGAAGGGGCGGAAATCTTGGCCATCGCACAATTTTAACAGCGCTTACGTACAGTGATTCTATGTGACGGCTTGTGAGCCGATAAGTCCTGTAGCCTTCGATGGCTATCGAAGGCAACCTATATTCTCTATCACTCCGAGGATTATCAGCAGACGAAAACTGATACGAGATCGCCACTGAGGCTACGTAAAGGATAGTGCCAAGAGTATCGGAAGCGTTACTCGTGTGGCAGAACAAACCTCTAGTCAGTTTCATTGCCACTGTAAGTGTAGGCTAGATTTAGATACCTCTGGATGTGTATAAGTAGTAGAGTAGACTTGCAGGTAGTTTGCTTCTACATAGATGAATTATAGCTTTACCTTTCAATCATGCAAATGCCCATTCGCTTTCTATATTTGAACTGTGACATTCTAGAGTTATTGGTGCGAACTAATAACAGAAACTGACTTGTCTACATCAAATCTCGATAGTTGGAATGGAAATAGCCCTTTCAGCATAGAGTTAAATCCCCTGTGTAAAACTAACGATGTCGAAAACCTTTCTAAAATTTATACTCAAACAATCCTTGTGCAGGAGGGTATATTCCATGAACTGTGACCGCAAAGAGTGCAGCATTTATTCCATGGTGATTTTTCTCAAGTTTAATCATTCTGCATGGCTCATAGACCGACCTGGCCTATGATTATCGAAGCAATATTGCAGATATTGTATCTTCCAAGTAGTCTTAGAAATCTTGTGGTTGCCTTCGTTGCTTTTCGATCTGGTCCACTCTCCGAGTCTACCACAGAATTCCTCAAACGATCTAATGAATCATTGCAAGGAATGCCAACAAGGGAACGCGCAGCACTAGAGTTTGAACATAAGATTGAATACACCTTGAAGACACGCTGGAATGGTATGGGATAAATTGGTGTAAAGGAATGAAGCATATTCTCTTTATATTGCTCTGCCAAACGCTTGACTGACGGCTCAACACTAATCGAACAGCATGGTCAGACTGCTGTCAAGACCAATTAATAACCAAATTATACCTTCCTTCGCGGATCCCTTGCGCCCAGAGAAAACTGCAATCAATAATTTTCAAGACATGCCAGCAGCGTTAATCAGTCTTGATAACCCAGCTGCATCAGCTAACGCTGCAAGTTCTCAGACTGTGTATTACAGCCTAAGAAATTTAGGTCATTTTAGTGTGGACTATAAATGTAAGGGAAGCACAAATATTTACAGCTTACAATCCAGAGAATAAGAGATTTGTGGAGCATTCAAAGCTAGAATAAGACAATGGGGTGCCGATCAACAAGATAAACAAAAGAGAGGTAAAACGGTATACGATAATTCAAATAAAAGTAGTGTTAAAAGGAATACTCAGAGACCGTCTCCCCTTCTATCTCGTTGCTCTAACAATGTTCTGTCGGCGTATTCTAATCAGACTATTCAATTTGAAGAGGAAAACTTCGATCTATGGGACTGGGACGATTTCCAACAAATATATCCCAGCGAGAAGGAAGATTACGGCAACGAATTTAACGAGGCTCACAAATTTAATTATAAACATATGTAAGCAGACTTATGCAAGCATAAGTCTGGACCTAGTCCAAATGCGAAAGCGCGATCTACGTGCAGGTATGTCAAACTAGTGATGATGCTCAGGGCCCTGATTAGGGGCAGGAGTAGATATTATTGTGCTACGATTGACTTGTAGTATGGAGAAATCAGTCATTCATTTTTGTATTCGCTTTTACCTTTTGACGATTCACGTGACATTCACACGAAGATCTCTCTAAGTTTTAAATGGTAGAATGATTCTTGGTTGATACAAACGGAAATTCGACGGTAGAAGACTCATCTGGAGCTTTGTTATATCGTGGACGAATTGTTTGTGACGATTTTAGAAAGGAATTTTAATCTTGTGAAATGTCGGCCTTTGGATTATCGAAGGCGGATCAAGAAATCGCTGCTCAAGGCACCGATATGAATTTGGCCGTTGTGGAAAAGAAGCGATTGGGTAAAAGTGTTGCTGGTCGCTCTGGTCGTGTGCCGGGCAACTTCAGCAATGAGTTCGACTTGGCATCGAACGATAGTCATAGCGAATGTCTGATGTCTGCACCAAGAAGAAAAAGTTCAGATAAACGATCCACCGAAAGAAAGGTTCGGGACGAAGATGAATGTTGCGAAAAGGTTTCAGGGCAAGCTGAATTTTCAAGGCCATCGGATCGATATGGGGAATGCAGAAACACACCAAATGATGACGAAGATGCAGGTGCAGGATGGGACAGGCCTGCCGGAACATCACCTAGGAATGGAAGCAAAACCTTGCTGGAATGGAATCTTTTTGACTGGAAACCACCCCAGACGGATATTCCAAGAGGAATTGGAAATTGGTCCATGTACCGAGAGGCAGTGTTATTACAACTAGAATGCATCGGGTACGAAGCTGGCATGAAATTGACACCGTCGGACGAGGTGAGACTCGCTGCTGTTATTTAGCGGACTACAACAGCAGAAACTAGGAGCCTAGTTATAGGCATGAAACGGGGCACAGAAATGATGAGATTATTTGAACTAACCTATCGGAAAGTTGGCGAAATACAACAAGAAGCCGTTTGGGGAAAACTCATTGCTCTCAAGTATACAGGAGGGTGTCCAGTAGTATACGTCAGGAAGTTTAAAACAGCTGTGAGGGTCTACATTTCCACAGATGGGACTTTATCTGACAGGCAAATTTCGACGATCTTCAAGCAATCCACGAACGAAGTAGTTGAGAGGTGGAATTCAATGGTCTCTACAATTGCCCGTTTTCGAAGCTGGTCTATGGAGAGTATATTCAAGATTTCATATCTCATCACTATGATAAGATTGGTGAAGAAGGCAAAGGTGGAAGGCTCTGGAAAACACAGTCGATGAACAAAAGTTTGAACAACGTTCAGGTGGGAGGAAGGGCGAATGATCGTGGAAACTCTAGAATAGAGGAGAAAGGCGACAACACCAAGAAGCTTCCTCAATTAGCTACGCTGTTCAAGTAGACCCACAAGTCTACGAAAATCTAGTAAAGTTTTACGAAAACGAAATGGTGCGACGGCGTGGCGAGTCAATTACTGAGAAGGGACTGTCCGACTCAGAAAATCCAGGAGCCTCCATTCAATTTACACAGCAAATTCTTAGCGCTTCTGGAGAAAGCAGAGTCATAAGCCGCTGGCTTTTCGACATAGGGGCTGACGTGGACGCCACTAACAGTCTTAGAAACTTCAAATCCGGCACAGTGGTAGAGTTAAATCCAAGGCAATTTCCAATCCAAACTAATTTATATAAACTTCTCAATTTATATATCCCCCTCAACTTCTCAATTTATAATCACACATAACATCGTTCATCAAACCTTCCAAACCATCGCATTACGCGCAGAATCAAGCAGCATCATGGCTGCGTTTAACCAGCCGTCGTCCTCGGCGTCGATCGACCCAGGCGACCACCTTCACCCGAGCCTTCTTGGGATTGCTGCTGCAATGGAGCAATCAGAACGCGAACGAAAGCAGCGAATGAGCGTAGCTCAAGATTTCCTGCATACTATTGACGCTTGGGCAAAATCCAAGGTGGGAACTGAAGGCGCGACCCTAGTTGCGCCACTTATAGAAAACATTTCACCTACTGTGACAGCATTTGCGATAGGCAACACCAATGCCAAAATTAACATAGGCAAGAAACCAGCACCCGAAACCACCCAAGAACCAATTCCTGGGCCTAGGGCGACAAAACCAGCCGAGAAACCCCGCCACGAACTTCCTCCAAAGCCACGCGAAAATGCTTCCCCGTGGGTCACTGTAGCGCGGAAGGCGGCCAAGCTCCCGGACCCGCCAGCTAATCTGGTCAAACATAGACCTGTTGTGCATACAAAGCCGAAAAATCAACAACCACCCAAAGAAGACAAAAGACTGTTCCTCCGATTAGGTCAAGGACACCAGTGGCGGAAGTTGTCACCTGTCACAATAAAGAAGATTGTAACTGAAAAAGCTGGGGTCGCACCCTCAGCCATCATAGCAATGACACAAGTTAGGTCTGGCCTAGCAATTGAGTGTGCATCAGACGCACTCAGAGAAACAATCCTGAGTGTTGGCGCTTCTCTCCAAAAGGAGGACATAACAATTGAGCCTGCCTCAGACTGGACCTCTGTCATGGTCCCTCATGTACAGGTTAACATCCGGACATTGGACGGAAGAATAGCAGTCACCAGCGAAATGGTGAAGAC